CTCGGCGAGTAAGCGTACCTACTCGTCAAGTCCCTTCCTCGAAATTACACTTTAAACCCTTAGGCCATACTTCTGAAATTCTGAATTTTACAAATTTAATATGCTAATACAATATGTTAAGTGTGAAGACTATAATGATTATGCTTATATATAAGTGTAAAATGAAATTAATTAAAATCATAATATATTGTTTATTTAGGTTTAGTATAATAAAAAAAATCAGTAACTTATACTCTTATAAAAACATAATTGTTTGATATAATATATTTGTTAGTTATTATTTAATTTTGGTATTTTCTTTTGTTATTTATTAATTATTAGTTAATATTTTATGTAATTCATATCAACATGAAAAGACAATCAACTATTGATAGGTTATTTAAAGAAAACATGTCAATTCTACTCAAGATTCTGAAAAACCACCAGAGATTGTTTTAGATGAAAATACCCCAACGTCTAGTAGTATTCATGTCGCGATAAACCCAACATCTAGTATTCCTGTTGTGGAAAACCCAGCATCTAGTATTCCTGTTGCGAGAACCCGTCCAAAAAGGCTCAACCTGAAGCGAATGAAATTGATCTTAATATAGTCGAACGAGATCCCGCTTTGCGTATGCAAATTTATGATTTTCCAATTAATCAATGAGATATCATCCGTCGAGCATATATAAATCTTGGTCCCTTTCAACCGAAATTTTAAGTATATCCAAAATCTGAACCAGAAACCCATAAATGTAATTTTCAAGTTTCTTGGTTTAAGTTAATTCCTTGGCTTGAATACTCAAAGATTCGAGATACTGCATTTTCTTTCCCATGTTTTCTATTTAACAAACCTTCTGGAATGAGACAATACGACCAACATGAATTTAGTATAAATGGTTTTCAGAATTGGAAGAAAATGGGTGGGAAAATGTGTCTTTTTGAATCATATGGGGATTAAGGGTACATCTTTTCACAAAATTGCACAAAAAGCATATGGTGATTTGTTAAATGACGCACAAGATATACGAAATGTGTTTGAGAAGTTTACAAAGGAAGATCGTTAGAATAATATACTCAGATTGATGGCTACTATTTTTTCAATCCGTTGGTGTGCCTTTCAAGCAGTTCCATTTAGAGGTCATGATGAAAGCTCAAATTCCATCAACAAAGGAAATTTTTGTGAAATGTTAAAGGCAATTGGCTTTTATAACAACAAGATGAAATAACTGTTTCAGACTGCTCCTAAATATGCATTCTATACATCACTGTCAATTCAAAAATATATTCCAAGCCTTTTCTTAACTAGGGTTAAACGGATGATTTGTAAGGAGATTGATGGTTGAAAATTTTGTTTACTTGTTGATGAAGCACGTGATGAGTCTAACAAAGAAATGTCAATTTTTTAAAGATTTGTAAATGAAGATGGTGTTATTGTGGAGCGTTTTTTTGGACTAGTTCATGTACTAGACACTACATCACAAAGTCTTAAGAATGGAATCTATTTTGTATCTTCACATAACAATCTTGATTTTAGATCAATTCGTGGCCAAGGGTATGACAGTGCAAGCAATATGCGAGGTTGGTTCAAGGGTTTACTAGCATTAATTTCAAAAGATAGTCCATACGCCTATTATATTCATTATTTTGCTCATAGATTACAATTAGCATTATGGTTGCTTCATAAGGAGTTGTTGCAGTGAAAAAGTTTTTTACAAAGTTATCTTTTGTTATTAATGTTTTCGGTGCTTCCTCCAAGCATACTGACCAACTAAGAGATGCACAAGCTGAGTAAATTGCATATATGATTTCTATTGATGAGTTAGAGACATGTATAGGTCTCAATCAAATTGGTACATTACAACGAGCTGGAGATACCAGATGGAGTTCTCACCTTAAATCAATTTTAAGTTTAATCAAGATGTTTACTCCTACATGCGAGGTTATTCTTAAAATTATTGAGGAGGGCACTGGTTCGATCAAAGGGGATGTAGATTCAGCATATGAGATTATTACTACATTTGAGTTCAATTTTGTTTTGCATCTTGTGAAGGAAATTATGGAGATAACTGATTTACTTTGTCAAGCTTTACAAATGCAATCTCAAGATGTTTGCAATGCATTGAAGCTAGTTGCATCCACCAAAGAACTTTTGCAAAAAATGAAAGATGAAAGATGGGATGGTTTGCTCTCTCCTATTAAGTCATTTTTTAAGGATAGCAAGATTGAAATCCCTGATTTATCTCTGCCTACTTTAGCAGAAGGGATCGAGCTCATAAGGACCATAGCGATCATACACTTGAACATCACTACCGATTGGATATCTTTTATGAAACCATTAATTGTCAATTAATGAAATTGAATCACCGGTTTAATGATAGCTCAATGGAGTTGCTTCAACTTTTGCAACTTTTAATCCTAAAAGTGTTAATGAGCCTTTTCGAAGTAGTGATGTATGTCGGTTAGTGGAGAAGTTTTATCTTGAAGATTTCAGTGAACAAGAGAAATTACTTTTGAAGTTGTAACTTCAACACTATGAGATTGATGTTGTTAAACACACAAATTATAAACTATAGACATCAATTTCATAGTTGTGTCAATGGTTGATAAAGACCGAAAGAGTGGCTAATTTTCATCTTATTTATCGAGTATCTAGTCTCATATTTACTCTTCCGGTTTCCACTGCTACATCAGAAAGATCATTTTCAGCGATGAACCTTATTAAAACAAGGTTACGTAATAAGATGGAAGATGAGTTTTTGAACGACTCACTGGTTCTATACTTTGAAAGGGAACTTGCAGAAATGATTAGTTTGGAAACAATTATGCAAGATTTCAAAAATGAAAAAGATCGACGAGTTCCACTTTGAAGTGGGATGTAACAATATTTATTATTAATTTTCTTGTTTTGAATTTTGATATGTCATAATTTTGAACCAAAATTTTTGTCTATATGGTTTTGTATTGAAGTTTTAATTTCGGCCCCCTAGCTATTTTGCTTGTGTTCCACCCCTGATTCAAAATAACCACAAAATCACATTTGACAAATTGAATGAGAGTGTGAAAAGTTGCAAAAAAAAAAAAAAAAACATTTATTTATTAGAAAGGATGGTTAGCTGTTAACTTCTTTAAAATAACAATTTTACCCTTAGAAATAATTTTCATAGTTTTGTCTTTTACCATACTATAACGACCATTTTTACATACATTCTTTTTTATTTTATTTTATTTTATTGAAGTATTATATGTTAATAAATATTATTTCTAATATATAATATTATATATTCATAAATATTGTTTTATTGGATTATTAACTTAATTTAGTTGATTTTTATTTTAATTTGTTGTTGGAGTAATTCTTTTATATTGAATTATTATATATTAATACATATAGTTTTTAAATATATAATATTTATATCATAATAAATATTAAATTATGGGATGGGATTATTATATATTATAAAAAAAATAATTTATTGGATTATTATTTCTTTTAGTTGATTCTTTTCATAATTTCTTTTTCATTGGAGTAATTCATTTTATTGGATTATTATATATCAATAAATTATATTTTTAATGTATAATATTTATATTGTAATAAATATTATATTATTGCATTATTATTTTCTCTTAGTTAATTTTTGTAATTTCGTTTTTGTTTTTTTAGTTATTAATTTTTTGAATTATTACTTTTAATTTATTATTTTTTCATATAATAAATATTATTTTATTGGATTATTATTTTATTGGATTATTATTTTGTTTTTAATTTATACTATTAATTCTTTTTAATTTTATTAGTTTCACAAAAAAGTCATCGATATACGCAAAAGTATCGCTTCTCATCATCAAAAATCGACAGGATTACTGCCAAACATCTTATCGGAGGTTCAATAGAAACCCCACTAACTTGTTCCACCAAGCATTGTTGGTAGTCACCTGCAATAACCTCTTCATAATCCACTAGAATCTTTTATATCTCAAATAATGCATAACAAACCCCTATAACAATTATAAGTGGTGGTGGTGATCAGGTAATGGTGGAGATGTTTTCCTTACGGTTTCTCATTATAAGCTACCTACAATGAAGATGTTTGGCAGTGATCCTGGTGATTCCGATAATGAGAGATGACGATTTTGCATATCCCACGACTTTATGGTGGAAACAATAAAATTAACAAGAACTAATATTCTACATTAAAAATAAATTAATAATCCAAAAAAATATATTTAGTATATGAAGAAAATAAGAAATTAAAAGTAATAATCCAATAAAATATAGTTTTAAAAAAATTAGGAATTACGAAAATTAACTAAAAAAATTAATATTCCAATAATATAATATTTATTATGATATAAATATTATATATTAAAAACTATATGTATTGATATATAATAGTTCAATAAAAAAGAATTACTCCAACAAAAGAAAATAATTAAAATAAATTAATAATCAATTAAAATAATATTTATTAATATATAATATTATATATTAAAAATAATATTTATTTATATATAATACTTCAATAAAATAAAAAAGAATATATACAAAAATGGTTCTTATAGCATAGTGAAAGACAAAACTGAAAAATTGGTCACTCAAAGTAAAACTTATAATTTTAAAGAAGTTAACAGTCAATCAGTTAAATTTAACGGAAAATGGATCAAAATCACAACAAAACATGTTGAAAATGAAAAAATTGCAACTTTTCAAGTGTTTGGTCCTTAACCACAAAAAACGAAAAACCATAGGGACCATTTTTGTAATTTTGTCTTAATGTAATGTTGTCGACAGCTTAGATGGCTTCCGCATGGAAAATACTTATTGTGTTCTTTAATTTTCTTTTAAAACATGTAAGTTAACTTATCAACGGCATTAGAAAAATCAAGTACGTAGTTTACCATGCACCCTATATATATCTCCTTCTCTTCCACTCACAACTCACATTATATCTTCCAATCCAGTTCCTTTTTAATATTCAATCGAATTTTAAAGTGCAATACATTGATCTTGACATCAAATGGCTTCACCTCATGATGTTAGTGGATCTGACCAGAACAATAAGAAACAATCTGAACCCGGTGTCATTGGAAACATTTTTAAAATGGTTTCCAATACTCTCGGCAATGCCAAAGATGTGACCGGAAAAACTCATCAAGCCACCGGGAAGGGGTCGGAGGAGCTCAAGTATTCCGACGTTCAAAAAGCAAAAGAAGAAAGTGACTTCGCTAACCAGAAAGCAAAAGAAGCTATTGACTTGGCGGAGGGGCACAAGGTTTTCGTGGCTAAGAAAGCAAAAGAAGCTGCTGACTTGGCGGAGGAGCACAAAGGTTTCGTCGCTCAGAAAGTAAAAGAAGCCACTGACTTTGCTAACCATAAAGCAAACGAAATCGCTGACCAGGTTATCCATAAAGCAAAAGAAGACGCTGTCTTGGCAGAGGAACACAAGGATTTGGTCACTCGGAATGCGAAAGAAGCCTCTGAATTTGGTAACCAGAAAGCGAAAGAAGCTAAGGAAACTGGTGATGCAACTGCACAAAATGTGACAGAAGCAAAAGATTATATTGCTGATAAAGCCATTGCAACTAAAGATTATACGACTTAGAAGGCAAAAGAAGTGCATGATGCAACATTAGGGAAGAAGGGATTGCGAGTTTAAACCTAACTTGGGTAGGTGCACCAATCGTCTTTGTTGACAATAAGAACTATAAATGGAAGCTTCTTCCCTTTCATATGGTAAAATTTTATATTCAAATGGTGAACACATTAAAGAAACCTATAGCTATAGTAAGTTGGTTTTGCTATAAATGGAAGCTCTAACGTCAGTTGTAGAGCACCAATCTCTATAAAGATGTAGTGTATAATACTAGTGAGTATTATCAAAGATGGTTGTTTTTCATGTAATACCGAGTGTGTAAGTTTGTTTATTTTCTTTTAGTTATGAATAAAAGAACCTTTTAACCTGGTTTCAGAGATTGGATTAGCTCTAGGGGTAGATTCTTTGTTTTTTGTTCATTTCTTTCTCATAATCTCTTGCTAGGAACACTGCTGGAAAGGTCTCATTCTAACCATTTTGAATATATCTTTTTGGAAATTTTTCGACCACCGGAAGTCCTTCAAATCGTGAGTCAAATCTTTTCCGGATGTCGAAAAAGTAGTTTGTTGTGGAAGACGAGGGACGTCCTCAGTGACATCCATAGTTGACCAGATTTTGAAAAGTTTAGTTTGGTCCGTGTTTTTCCGAAAAGGGCAGTTTCGCTAGGAGTTTGAGATTGAGTGTTGTCTTTCCTTTTCTTCATACCATGCATGTTATATGTAACGTCCCAAAAATCATGACATATATTTTTTTTCTTTTTGAGTAATAAATCATTAATACATTTCTTTCTCATGAAACCAAGGTAACAAAGAGTTAGCAAAACATTATCAAATCAGAGTAATTTATAGAATGCACATAACATGTGGTGTGTGGCTTGTAATCGTCGCGAGCTCTATCATTTGAAAACTGGAGTACCTGAAACATAAACTAAAGACCATAAGACAAATATTAGTGAGTTCCCCAAAATACCATAAACATACAACGATAGAATATCATGCAACATACGTATAAATTGCCATAGGCTCCTGTGACAACCCGAAATTTATGTTCGGTCAAACCCTAAAATCAATCACTTCAAATTATAAGTCAAGTTCATTTTTATTTGTTGTTATCAAATTTAAAGTTCGCTTGATTATTTTTTTAATTATTCTTCAAACGAACGGGTGAAAGCAAGTGTCGTCTCGAGTCTTGAAATTTCAAAACCGCAACTACCACGTAGTTAGGAAATTCACGGCCAAACTTTTATGTTTGGGCCATAAATCCTTCCAAAACCGTAAACTCATGCCTTAAGCATGAGTTTACTCCCCAAAACACCTCACTTCTTACTTGCAATCTCAAGAGCAAACTCCAAACACTCTCAACTACCATCCCGTATTTCACCCGATTTCCCGAAAATGTAAGTACTTTTTGGCTTGATTTGTTGTTATATCATAACAACTAGTGATTATACATCATTTCATCCATTCAATTGTTGATTTTCATTAGATCTTCAAGACACCAAGAACACACACTAGTGTTCTTGGACCTTAAACACCCAATCGAGCTCCGATCTTGTAAGTGCACTTGCTATAGCTTCTTGTATGCTTAGTATGACCCTTATAACACTTGAAAATCATCAAGAAACCTTAGAACAAAGGAGTTACGGCCAAGGATGATCTTGGGCCGTAAACCCCTTTCAAGGTGGTAAATTGGACCTTAGCTCTTTCCTATCCCTTGGATGTCAACCTTGATCCTTCCTAGAATTGTTTAGGACTTTAAACAACAATCAAAACATGCCCTTAAGAGAGTTTACAACCGTGAACACATAATAATATGGTCATTTGGTTGTAAACTCCACAAGGTGGTCTTATTATGCCCCTAATGCTTTCCTAAGGCTTGGACTTGATCATTTGATGCCCAATCATGACTTGTAAGACCTCAAAACACAATTTGGCCCTTAGTACCATGAGTTTACGGCCCTAAACTCATGGGGAAATGGTCATGGGCTGAAAACTTATAAAGGAGTGGTTCATGGGCCATAAACTCTAATGCCATGTCATACAACCCTTAGGTGCAACCCTTTCGTACTTGTAGCACTTGAATCAAAGTGTTTCTATGATCTAGGGTGTTTTAACTTGATTAATTAGTTATTAATTAACTAATCAGATACATATATGTTTGATTATATGTTAACTAGGACCATTGTGTGTGTTTAAGTCCTCACTTGACACCTTACACCTTGTCTGACACTTCCATCCCATCCGCTCACTACAGGTGAGTTCATACCCCTTAATTAACTTTTTTAAATGTTTTGAAATGTTTTAAATGCTTTATGGGGGGATACAAGTTAAAACATGCTAGTTATTAATGATGGGTTTTGGTCATAAGAACATCCTATGTGCTCATACAAACCCTAATGCTTTGATCTAGCTTTCTCTATTGTACATGCAAGTTATCCAAGACTATAAACCCTAATTCTAACATATGGAAATCGATATTAACATATAATTAGGTTTAAGATATTACCTTGATTGTTATGTAGCAATAACAATCCCAACTCCTCCTTGTATTGACTTTAGAAAGCTTAGAGTCACAAATGTCACTCCTCTAATGGTTCACAGACACCAAGAGCAAGAGGATGAAGAGGAGAGAGGATGGAGGCTGCCCAAAAAACGTGTGAAACCATAGAAGGATGCTTAGCCAAGTTTTTGGGTAATAAGGGTTCTATATATAGTGAGGCTATTAGGGTTATCTAAGAAGGAAACCCTAATTTGGATGCTTAAGCCCTAAGCAACCCATGGACCCCCCTTTCCTTAAGGCCGTGGAAGGTTTCTTATGGGTTTCCCCATAGAATTTGTCCACTCCTCAATACAAGACAATCCATGGCCCAAATTGCAATTATCTTATAATTACAATTCCAGTCCCTTAAGTTTAATTAATCTCTTTTAGTCACAAAACTAATTACCAATTAATTATTGACTAATATTAATTAAACAACATGATTTCTCCTTTAATATATTATTCTCATAATATATTAATAAATCATATTTAATACTTTCTCTCCATAATTCATCCTATCAAGTTGCTTTGGTGAAGGCAACCCAAAAGGACCATGCACCATCGGGTCAAGTAC